ATTGGTCGGGGGCGCGCATGTTATGCATCTTGGGCTCAATATAATTATGTACACACGGAAAGTCGCGTATTTCACAAGTTTTGAAAACCGGAGACATTTGCCATTAGAGATAAAAGCCTCCTTAAGAAAACCGGAGAGGATGGGCGGTTCTGTTTTTCGATTGGTATTAATTTACTAATCGAAAGAGGAGAGTTCCATTTTCGTCACGTTTTACGTCCAAGTTTGCCTTCTAACACATTAACAGTGAAGTTGCGAAGTTCAATGTTGCAAAAATCATGAAACTCCAAGAAGAAATTCGAAATTCTCAAATGTAGCTGCTCTTAGTTAATGTTACAAGACCTTAGAACAGTCAGTTTACTCTGGAGAAAGTTGCTAATGCGCCAAGAGACATTTTGGTCATCAGGCGGTACAGCGACCAGCTGAATGCTATCGAGCGTGAGAGCAAGGGTTTAAAAAATTCAGTGGATTTTGGCAGGATTGAAGATTTCATTGATTGTGAAGGAGACTTGTATCCAGGGTTCAGGTAGGAAATGTGTTCTAAAGTTATTTGGACTGGCTCGCGTTTTAGCTCGTTTTAGAACATGTCAAATAACCTTATTGAGCTTAGCCGTTTGGCTGCTCCGATTATTTAACTACGAAACGTTTGGAAGTTTTTTTTGGTGATTTTACGTACGATGGGCATTATAAGAAAAGCTTGTTATAAACACTGCCTAACCCAAGCTTAACTCAAAGAATTTCGGTGGCCTCGATTATGGAAGATTTCCGTTCTTGACTATTAGCAAAAAGGTTTGTTTTTCTTCAGACATGACTAGCAAGGGATATAGAGTTTACTGAATTGGTGTGGAAACCTCAAGTTGCACGTCGAAATTCGAGTTGGACTTCGAGTTATCGTGAACAGCGTTCCAATTAGCTTGAGCAGCGTTCAGGTTCAGTGTCAATAATAGAAATTGTAACTTATATTCTTAAAGTAGTCTTGCCAACTCCAAAGGCCGAACTCGATTTTCCATCTCGATGATCTCCGACCCTGATTTAATCTAATATCAATATACTAAACTTAAATGTAGTCAGGTTTGTAGTTTTTCGTACCTGATATGATGAATGCTGCAAAGCAAAATGTGAACAGATGTTTGTTTGGATATTTCATAGTCTTCAACAGTATTATGGGAGCAGACAATTAGCATTATACCAAGCATGTACGTCACAAAAAGCGTATGTCGTCACTGGTAACTCTAATTATCGTAATGATCCAGCGCGCGGCCGATCTTTGAGGCAGTGACATTTCAATCCAGTCGCTACCGATCAAACAAAGGAACGAACGAACGATCAAACCAATGGATGACTTCATGACTGAGCTGACTGACGGCGAATGAATGATACATGGTAGCTATTCAGAATATTCAGTTTTCAGAACAAGAAATGTTGCGTATCCGGAAATTTTTATAAGCAGATTAACTTGTTTAAGTATGACGCAGGATATTACTGAGCGATGGGCCGGAGGTCGCCGTTCTCCCCTTCAAGTTCAAGGCTCAGTCGACTAATCAATAAGTTTCAAGTTTTTCTTCTCACCGTACAATGTAGATACTAATAAATGACCCATGTTTAGAAGGATATAAATTATATATAACCTAAATTCTACACAAAACTTGTTGCCATGCCTGCGCGTTCGAACTCCAGGAGTACCATCGCTTCGCAAGGAATTAGCTTATGTTTCCAGTTTTTGTTTCCTTATTGGCGAATTTCTTCATTTTTGATTATTATAGCCATCGTGTATAGTTGTATAGTTGTATAGTTGTGTATGTGTTGTTTGAAATTTAAAACATGCCGCGCCTTCAGTTCGTTTTGCTATATTTAGTAAACCAGAATTAGGGGAAAAAGGGTTTTTTTTAAAATTTCCAGTCTCACAGATCACGAGCCTAAAATCTTCATCAAGGAATTATAAAACCAATATGGCAACAAAGTGGTTATATGAGGTAGAGATACGAAATGGTAAGGCCTATCCTGATTGTACTGGCAGGCCAATAACATTTTTGTCTTTTTTCCCCGGTAAATTGGCTTACAAGTGGGTTTGTTCACGCAACTTTGTCATCGAATTGGCTTACTTGCCGTCTACAAACCATTCGTACTTGAAAAGATGCTAACGAGCGAACGATCGAGTAACTCAGATACTAAACAAAGAAAGATGTATTAAAGAACAGTTTATTTCGAACTACTTTTTGTTAGTTGCGTTTAGTTTCAGCTAAGTCCTCCAAACGTGTGTTTTCGGTGTGAAATTTTGTGCAAAGTTTGAAGTTGTACTGCAAATAAAAACAATTTCTATCAGTCGTTGCGAATCATTTGAAATCCGACTTTTCTACCGTAAATTGAGTAGAAGAAAGCAAACTGAAATTACTGTTGAACAGAGTTTCTCAGGACTGGATGACTAGACCACAGTGCAGGACCAGTCGTCCATTTTACGGCTGGTTGGGAAATTCAAATAACCATTCACTTTCAGTCTTCCCAGCGGTCGATATTTTAATAAAAAGTCCCAAAATGTCAACTATGTTTTGAAACTTTGTTTGCTTCATTTACCATCTGCCTAGGGTAATTATGAGTTGAGATGTGGATACTAATTTCCGGCCAAGCACCTTGTTCCTCTTTGCATACGATTACTACTACTGCTCTGATATATTATATGGCAAAGGGTTATTTTTGGGACATTTTGTCGCCTGTTTTTGAGATGCAATATCTTGGCTTTCCTGAGAGGACGTGGGCGACCTAGGAAGTTGTTACCTACACTGACATCTATTAATTTGCCTTAAAAGGTGTTTGGAGCAAACTCACGAGAGGTCGCACGTTTAAAAACCAGAGACATTTATGTTTATTTCTCTTAAGGTAAGGAAATTGAAAAGAATTGCAAACGACTGGTTTATACTGACAATATCAGATATTTTGGTTAATGCAGCCAATGTTGCTCAAAGCCGTTCTGCGTCCTTGGTCCAGGTTGGTCTGTTTTGCCGGTATCTTCACAGCAATAGCTCGTGAGCGACATCAAACCATAAGATGGTTTTTTCGGTAATGTAAATAACCTCGTTCATTTTAATGGAGTAGCAAATATTGTAGAAAAGATGTTTACAATATTTGCCTCATTAGCATAAGCGATTCACTTTCTCATCGGGCGACAAAAACATCAGTTCTGAATATGATTGAAAGGGCATACCACGATTAACAGTCCAAAGGAAATTGAACCCGATGTATGGCACACATTTTGTGCAACGCGGGCCTAAAAACTCAAGATTTTTCAGAGTGTATGGGCTAATTAGCGCTTTTACCAGCCAAAAATTTTGCAACTTTTGAAAGCATCACCTTCAATATTACGCCAAAAGAGCTGATACTTTCGCCATGCACTAAGTTTCATAAATTCCTAGCCAATATGATACCTTATCCGTCCACGCAAAGTC